AAAGACATTTATTCAGGACAAAATAACTTTGTAAACTTCTTAATAAATTGCCATTCTTAGGAATTTTTGTTAAATATTTACTTATTTTTTGTGGGCCATTCTGTCATATTTTAGGTCATATTTTGCCATTTTTAGGGCTTAAATGCATGCATATTCTCAAAGGTTTTAGGTCATAGAAATCCGAACCCTAGTAATAAGGTACCTTCATCACTCAACAAAAATAGAAGACAAAACAAGAACTAGCTGAACTACGACACAGAGTCAGAAATATAATCAACGTACATCAAGAAGCTACGAAAGAGCCATTGAACCTATTCTTTGTAGACCTAGAATCAGCCCAAAACAACAAAAAGATCTACGAAATAACAGGAATCCAAAACAGAATAGTAAAAATAGAACCTCCCTACTCAAACAAAACAAATGTGTACGAGATATCAACAGTACGGCCATACAAAAACATACTGCAATAAGCCATACGCGGCGGCCCACAACGCGACAGACTGCAAGAAGACAAGGGAAACACCAGCCAGATGCGCACTATGCGGAGGAAACCGCCCCGCAAACTACAGAGGATGTGAACACTTTCGTAAGCTAACCAAAGGTACCAGGAGAAGCTTTTCCCAAAGACACTCTACTCCAGCAATCTACACAAATGAATCCTACACGAGAAATATACAACCTCTGGAAATAACTCATCCCAGAAACTACGCAGAAATCACAAAGCGAAATTTAACCCAAACAGAAGAAAATACTAAAAAACTAGGAAAATTCCTAGACGAATTAAAAAATTTAATTCAATAATTATTACAACAAAATACTATGGTACTAAACATGCTAACAACACTCGTCAACAAAATGAAATAAATTGCCAGATTCCTAAGAATAACCCAATGGAACGCCAATGGACTTCCAAATCATCAAGAATATATAAAAATATTTCAAAATATAAACTAAATCGACATCCTGCTATTCAGCGAAACCCACTACATCAGCAGAAGCTGCTTCAGTATCCCCAAATACAAGCTTTACCACACAAATCACCCCGACGACACAGCTCACGAAGGCACTGCAACCCTATCAAAGAAAAAATCGAACATCATGAACTACCAAAATATGAAAAACATCACATACAAGCAACTTCCATCAAAGTCAAAACATTTTCTTATGCTCTCACCATTACCGCGGTCTGCTGACCTCGCCGCCATAACCTCAAGAGAAACCACTTCGAGTCATTCTTCCAAACCCTGGGTACAAAATTTATAGCGGGCGGAGACTACAACAGCAAGCACACATTTTGGGGCTCAAGACTCATAACAACCAAAGGCAGAGAACTACACAAGACAATCCAAAATAACAATTACTCCATCATATCAACTGGAACACCAACATACTGGCCCACAGATGGAAATAAAATTCCTGACTTACTAGACTTCTTCCTAGCAAACGGCATCTCTCCTAACTACCCAAACGCAACTGCAAACCTTGACCTAACTTCGGACCACACTCCGATCATTGCAACAATAAGCACACCAGTTATACTAAGGAAATCCAAGCCCAGACTTCACAACTCCAAAACAAACAGGAATGTCTTCAGGAAAATAATAGAAGTCAACACAAAACTAACAATTAAGCTGAAAGAACCAGCCGACATAGAAAACGAATGTATAAACTTCATCACCCTACTACAAGAAGCCGCAAAAACAGCAACCCCCACAAATGATCCAAAGAGCCCTACAAATATCATACCGTTAAGAATAAAAATATTAATAGCCGAAAAGAGAAGAGCTCGATCAGCCTGGCAGAGGCCTCACACTCCGGAAAACAGAGCAAAATACAACAAAATCAGTAAAAAGCTAAAAATGCAACTGCAAGAACTAAAGAACGACTCATTCGAGAACTGCATCGCAAGCCTCACAAGACAAGACAGTTCCACCTGGAAACCAATAAGAAACAAAAGAAGGCCCATATCAGCATCACCACCAATACGCAAATTCAAATCACCCCCAGACTTTTGACAAAGTCTGGCATCCTGGCTTACTTTACAAAATAAAAAGAATCTTCCTAACAAATTATTTCAACCTACTCAAGTCATATGTAAGCGAAAGATTTTTCGAAGTCAAAATACATGAGGAAATATCCAACCGCCTACCAATCCACTCAGCCCATGAAGATAATTTATGAGCCATTTCAAGGAAATAGCAGCTCCAGTCTAGAAAACCGAGATTAACGGCCGTGGAGATTCGTTGCGCTGACCACGCGACACCCTCTATCCGCTAAAGTTGACACTAACCTCGCCGAAAAGCGGAGGTCGCTCGGAAGGTATAGTTCGCTTGCGGACTACAGGCCACGAAGTTTGTTTTGTTTTGTTTTTTGTTTTATGACAAAATGTCTTTAAAATTTTACTCGTAACTGAGTAACATTCTGTAACCGAAATGGAAAACAATTAGAGAGTTGGAAATCGAGCTTCATATCTCCAAGAGAGTCTATATACACGTTCCAAGTACGAGTATTTAGCAAAATCTCTTACCAGATGAATAAAAATGTTGCGCCTACATATTGTACAGTTCTTGGAAACAGTAAAACTTGTATGACAGCAGCAGCCACCAACTGCATTGAAAGAGAGCTTACTGGGAACTGTTACATGGCGCCCACAGTATGGCAACTACAGGACAGTAGGCATTTGTAGTCTATAATAATAATCATATTTCATATCTCTCGAATAATTTCATTTTATCTGTTGACTCACTCCACTCATTGAGCTAAGCCCTTCTTGAGAAGCCGCCAATTGTGCAGCTAATATTAGGTGGGTCCCTTATCACCACGGCATGGTGCGTCCTCAGGTTGCGGATGGAGAAGACACCTCCAAGTATGGAGGGAAGCTGTGAATATATTGAATAAGCAGTTGCGGACAGTCGACAAGGGGTGGTCTTCCAGCTTTGTGTTTGGGAGTAGGGCTAAGAGCTCCTCGCCGTAAAAAAATAATCTTGTTACGAAAGTATTAAAGAATTTCATTTTATCATTATAAAACTACAACGTTACTTAGTGCTTGTCATGAAGTTCATATACACTATTCTCTACTTGTAAGCGTCCATGCTGAGTGGCCAAGAGTTGTACTATGTGACGTCTGTTTCAGGCTCAGGACAGATCCAGCTGTGGCAGTTCTTGCTGGAGCTACTGTCCGACTCGTCCAACGCAAACTGCATTACGTGGGAAGGAACGAACGGGGAGTTCAAGCTCACAGACCCCGACGAAGTAGCTCGGCGCTGGGGTGAGCGCAAGTCCAAACCCAATATGAACTATGACAAGCTGAGTAGGGCGCTCAGGTGAGTATGATGTCTTCATAATCTGAAACAGAGAAGAAAAGTTAAGAGTTTCTCTGAAGGAATGAAGCGAATTTGAAGCAAAAGTACGATTTATAATTCCAGTTACATGGCTCCTACCACTAGTGTTAGCGTAATCGTAAGTAATCTTAATTCTAAAGCGTAATTCATCTTTTAACTGACAAATTTCTGATCTCCTATAAGAAATATTTATAATATCTTTGAATTTTTAGTTGTGCTAAAAAGCAGACAGTATTTCTTCAATTAATTAGTTTAATTTAGATTAATTTCTTTTAAACATTCCAATGTTTTAAACCCTTTGAGACAACATATGCATGTCATATTCATAAAGTGTTCCCTTGGATGTGTTGACCATCTTCCGAGGTGGCCGATAGCGCCCGAAACATGTAACAGGGTGTTGAGGAGAATATTTAGACCGAAGAGAGACGAAGTGACAGGAGGTTGGAGAAAACTGCATAATGAGGGGCTTCGTAACTTGTACTCTTCTCCAAGTATAATTAGAATGATCAAGTCAAGGAGGATGAGGTGGGCAGGACATGTAGCACGAATGAGGGAGAAGCGGAATGCATATAGGATATTGGTGGGAAAGCCAGAAGGTACGGGAACACTGGGAAGACCAAGGCGTAGGTGGGTGGACAATATTAAAATTGATCTTAGAGAGACAGGATGGGATGGTTTGGATTGGATTGATCTCGCTCAGGTTAGGGACCAGTGGAGGGCTCTTGTGAATACGGTAATGATCCTTCGGGTTCCATAAAACGCTGGGAAATTCTTGAGTAGCTGCACAATTGGCGGCTCCTCCAGAAGGGCTCAGCTGCTTGAGTGAGTGAGTGCAGTTGATGGAACTTCTTTGTTCATCAGTCGAAACCTGAGCAATAATTTCATAGAAGAAACATGAAAGCGTGTGACCTCACATAATGCTGCGATTATTTTATGTACTTTGAGCTGTCAGAGCATAAAGAAAAGCTCTGCTCATAGTTGCAACTATACGGACCCCAATATTGGCAATCACACAGGTATCAATATGTTCTTGCAAAAGCGGCTGTAATAAACTGCTTTGTTTATTTCCTTTTGAATGTAACACGAGTTTTGTTATTTTCTCAGATGTCCGTTTGGGAGATTGGGATTGAACTAAAATGACCCAAAATTCAGGAATGATGCCCACATTAACCTTCCATGATAACCTTGACATAATTTCAATTAGAGTGATCGAAGCACAAGGTGGGGCACTTAACAATTCGACAACATACATACACGTAATCAGCTCAGGCGGTATGCAAAATATTCTAGAGGCTGTTAGTTGCCCCTGTTAGTCGGCGTTAGGCTACACGTCTCATTCGTGTGCCGGAGAAGTAATCTATGAAGCACGGCGATTTCTTCATGAATATCCAACAGTACGTGCTGTATTGTCCCAGTAAAGGTTCAACTGCTGCAGCTAGGCAACTCAGGCTGAAAATCAATAAATATTTAATTCTTTGCCGTTAGATCGTTAATTGGAAAACGACTAAATAAATTAAAAAGTTATAGTTTTTCATTTAACCGTTTTTTTAACATTATTGTATCCTTATAATTTATTTAGTTCAACGTATTGAGGCCGACTTTAAATGGACCAAACACAATTATAAAATTTCTCGTTTTCGTGGATTATAAGACTTACTGCCTGTATCGGTCTCCAGACCCTTTTTCCAGAGTCTCTATGGTTTTATTCTTATTGCTCGCTCTGTAGGTTTGTAGTTCCTTGCCGTCTTCGGCTACTTATCTTCGCCCATTCTGTTTACGTGTACATTATCTTTCCATCTCTTTCCATATGTTGGACTAAGCAAATTCTTCAAATATATTACGAACCTTAAGTTTGTCGTGCGCTGCAATGAATCAGAAATAACAACTTTATTTGAAAGTTCACTCCTACTTGTTTGAAATTAAGAAACACTGGCAGATGGACAGACTGGTTATAAGCTTTTAAAATTGTAATCAATTACTGTAGGAAAGTATCTTGTAAACATGAGGCATTCTGAATGTAAGAAGCCAAGCTTGAGTATGAGTGTTCATGAAATAAAGACAAGTAGACGAGACGTAACATATCTGATGGAAGTTGCACAGTTCCAACATTGACCGAGACACCTATTAACTTCCACTGTAGTTCCTCTTTACTGCCCAGAGTTCTTTCAGTACCGCGGTATATGCCAACACAAATTGTCCATCCGACAGAGAAAAATTAAATTAAATGTAAAGTATTGTCGCTATGCCTGTAATAAGCCGTGGAGACCCATAGGGTGGTCAGACGTCTAGGCTTCCACGTTTTCTAGACAATCGGCTAATAGGTAGTGGTGAGGTTGTCAGCCTTACACGCCGGCCGCCCTTTACCCCCCCCCCCATAAATCTTCCTGGTACTCATTTCTGTTCGAGGATATGTCGGCCATAGTGCGACTAGTAGAATTAGGTCAGTTGAAAAATCCAGTGACCTCATAGGAACTTGAAACCGCGATCTTCCGGTTTGTAGCATAGTGCTTCAATCAATTACGCACCTCGTGTCCCCTTCTGAATTATAAACTATTTTAAAATAAATAAATAAATATATTGTAGCGTATTTTGGGTGTATAACGCTACAAATAAGTTCACGCCGTTCTTTGGTATAGCGAATTTATTTCTTTCGCTCACACTTTACACACACTTTACAGACATTTACACTTGCAGTGTTACAATCACTGCTCACAATAACTCGGCAACACTGGACTGTCTCTTCTGGCGGTTATTCCAAGGCTGACTTCTCAGCTGGCTACTCCGAGACTTTCTTCTCCGAAGGCTGATCCGAGACTGACTGCTTCTTGTGGAAGCCGGGCTATTTATAACCTTGGCCGCTGCTAGGCAAATGAATCCTTTGTTATAACCATGGAGACTCCTGTTAGAACTACAATGGAGCAATTGTTGTTTCCTATGTAACGGTCTATTCTAGTGTTTCCATAGAAGCGTCTCTTCTGGATTCCAGACACGTTACAATATATATATTTCGATAAAATTTCTGTAGTTTAGCTACGAATATAAAGAAAATGGAACAGCTTACAGAGAAAAATTAAGTTCGGCTCTTAGTGTTTCACACCAGCCTCCAGCGGTGTGGTATTTTGGTTATGATCACCTGGTCGACACCACCTCAGTAGTCTGCTGTCTCTCGTACGTACCGAACTGTGCCAGTGATCCCCCCCCCCCATTGCGGCATTACCCACGTTAAGTAGGCCTATTCCCTTCAAATAACATAGAGCTTAATTAATCTGTTACATGAAATATTATCGCCTCTTCAGTTTCCCCCGTTCCTTTGTCTTTGGTCTTGATGAAAGGTGTCAATAACACGTCGCGGTCCGTGTCCATAGCTGCTTTGTTGCTTGGCAACCAATTAATGCATAAAACGCAGGAAGTAAAACACAGAGGATGTTAAATTACGTTTCTTTCATATTTTTCACCATCTTCCTTATAAAGCCTTTCAAAACTACGATATGACAAGGACATTATGGATCTGATAGAACTCGAAAAACAACTTTATAGCCCAGAATAGAGAAACGAATGTCTCGAGAGTAGACATGAGCCTAGATAGTTAAACATTCCTGAAGTAAATTATTTTACAGTTCATAATTTCTGTGTTGTATGTAAGACTTATCTAGTGCCTCTGTGGTCTAGTGGTCAGAGTTCCTGGTTACTGATAGAGAGGTCTCGGGTTCGATTCCCGGCGCTACCAGATTTTCTGAAAAGTAGTGGGTCTGGAACGGGGTCCACTCAGCCTCTTGAGGATAATTGAGGAGCTATTTCAAGGACATAGCGGCTCCGGTCTAGAAATCCGAGATTAACGGCCGTGGGGATCCGTTGCGCTGACCACGCTCCACCCTCTATCCGCAAAAGTTGGCACTAACTTCGCCGACAGGCGGCGGTCGCTCGGTCGGTATAATTCCCTTGCGGACTACAGGCCACGGAGTTTCTTTAGTTTTTTATTTTAAAACTTCGTATAGGCAGGACACTGGTTCTCCCGATTGAGAAATTACGTGGTTTTCCTCAGCTTCTGCAGGAAAATTCCGAGATATTTCCTCAAATTCTGCCACGACCACTTCCTTTCCAATTCGGCACAGTGTTGTGAATTGCTGATAGCCTCGTTACAGAGAGCACAAATTGTGGATTCATATAGACGAAAAACAAAACAAACGTGGCAAGGTTTAGTGCAGAATGTCATCACCACGTGATGCGCTGAATAGTTTCAGAGACCAAACCCCAAAGGCAAACATGTTCATTTTGTATTGAGGTCGCTGTAATGCACGGTCCTGGTATGTTTAATGTATTGCACTGCCCCTCCCCGGGGACGTCTAGGTTCGACCCGGAATCTATTAGGAAACCGACCAGGAAGCTGTCGTCTCCGGCTCTGTCTCTACCCCATTCATACCCCTCCCTGGCCTCCACCACCCATACACAGAACACGTTCCAGCTTCTTACTCTCCCCCACCCCCACCAACACAGCGCAGCGGTAACGGCTTATCTGAGCACTCCCACGACATGTTCAATAATAGTAATATAACGAAAAGAAATACTTTCTTGGAATACTCTCAAAGAATCTCCATAGTATAATCTACAGCGAATATATTTATATTTTACAGAGAACCAATTCAACATAATGTAGGCAGAATTATTTTTAAAAACGTGCAAATTTGAAGTAGTTATTGTGTGGCACTTGGTCTATCCGTTTTAAATCAGTCACGCACATTTGTAGAGCTTATTCAGGTAAAGAGTCCTATCGTCTGGGATATAACGCCATGTAGTCTGGTGAAAGAGTCATATCTTCTGGGATACAACGTCATGTAGCCTGGTGAAAGAGTCCTATCTTCTGGGATATAACGCTATGTAGTCTGGTGAAAGAGTCCTATGTTCTGGGATACAACGTCATGTAGCCTGGTGAAAGAGTCCTATCTTCTGGGATATAACGCCATGTAGTCTGGTGAAAGAGTCCT